TAAAGAACTCACAGAGATCGATTAGCAATTGAATTTCTGTAATAGAAAACCTAATAATGGTTGTCTGTTGCACAGTGGTATAAAAAAAAGGAAATAATTATGTAATATATAAAGGGTTTGTCCGAGGAAATATTTAATATTTTATGGTAAAATTGTCAAATTCATATTATGTATGTAAAAAACAAATAGAGGAAATTTTACCATGACATGTTAAATATTTCCTCCATAATTTTGCATGTAAAAAGAATTCAGAAATTTATACATTTTTTAGCTTTTTTAAAAAAATGTGTCAAAAATAAATTTAAATATATTTCATTTACAGTTAGCTTTTCAAAAAATATAAATCGTTTATATGTACATCTTTTCAGAAATGTTGATATAATTTAAAAGGAAATAAGTACATTATCCAAAAAATCAGTCATGATTTTTAATTTTGATACATACATACATTTGACGGCCTTCGGACGGGCGCAGGGGTTTTAAACTCTGGGGTGTGTCATTTAGTTAGGTCTATGGACATTATGACACTGTACATTATGACACGTCATCTGTAATTTGCTAATGTGCAGAAACACAGAGGAGTTAAGGTTTTAAATATCGCTCATTTACTGCAAGATTGGCATAATTATTAATAATGACTGACAAAAGTTTTTCTATAAATATTTAACATTTTATTTTAATTTCAAAAAAGCGTATAAAGAAATTTTTAGTATGTTTGAACAATTTGTTCCATTCACGATAATAATTTGCAATATTTGATTTTATGAATACTTGATCCATTAAAAGTATTTCGGACATTTCTCTTGTATATTCCAGTAATTTATTGTTAAGTGTTAAATTAAAAGTAAATTGGTAAACATAAAAAATAAGAAAAAAAAAAAAAAAATATAAAAAAAACCAAAAAGTAATGTCACTAACTTTTTTCCTTTGTCCAAAATAAAACATTTTATGTTTTATTTTTGTATATACCTAATATTATATCTTCATCAGCAACCTGAACTTTAAATAGGTTGTTTTTTTTATATTTAAAAAAAAATGTGTGAAAGGAACCTTTTTTTCATTTTTTCAACGAATTATTCCAACATAAAAATAGCTTTTGACCGAATCTTTCAGTAAAACCTCTATTCGTTTAACCATTAAAATAAATATCATATAAAACACTTATACAGAAAAAATCGGTAAAAGATATTTAATTGATTAATAGTGTTTCATGAGCAGGATAACCAAAATATGCAAATGGTTGTTTTTTATGGTGTGTCGTATGGGTTAATTGACAAGATATTTACACGTTTCAAAATAATTTAAGAATTCTCTTATTGATTTGTTAGAGCATACATTTGATTTAAATAGCATATTTAAGGCATTATTTCATATTATACATTTTTAGCGCATATTTTGGTATTTTATGCATAATTTTTTTATGTCTGTATATTTTTAAGATTTTTCCTAATTTATTTTTTTTACACTTGGGGAAGGACAGGTGTCATGAGTAAGCTCAATCTAACCCCGACAAAGGAAAAGGCAATCACTAGTTAGATTCAATAGAAGGGGCCTACCCAACATCAGGTGAAAACACCCTATTTATTTTATGAGGAATGCTCATGTCCCTAGAAAACATTCTCATCATCTAAAGACTCACCACAGTGCAATCCTGGACCTCTTCCCGCGAATTTGGGTTTAAACCACAGCCACTATGTGGATCTCGAAGGAACCTCAACCAGCCAGGACAAGTCCTGTGGGCAACAGGCCACCCGTATTACCAGATTATGTGGTTCTCTGGTTAGACCTCATGCTAAATCATACCAAAGACTAGCCGAGGAGTGAAGTGACATCACCAGTTTATAGTACCGGCAGACTAGAGGTGCTGGTAGCACCTCTCTTCCCCCGGATTGCAATACACCAAGATGCGGTCTATCATCAAGGAAACATGTCCAGTTTTTACTGCATGTTTTATGCACTTAAAACACTTTTAGGGCATATTTTTGGTTTCCCTGCTGATGAGCAAAAAAGGTAAAATTACAAAAAAGAAAAATTATCAATTTTATCATGCTCTTCTAGAATCGAAGTTGAGTATGTCAGGATTTTTCGTATTATTTGTAAACAAACAGATTTACGTCTTCCTTGGTTTGACATTCAGCCCTGATGGTTGACATTTCAAGGAATTTCTTCAATATTCGACGTATTTAATCTTTAGTTTTTTTACTTTAACAGTATCACAAAACTACAAATATCAATCTACGTTTTTTGTTTCGATTTATTTAAATTTATGTTTGCCTTTTTGGCCAGCTTTTTGGTTTAAACACTACTTAGTACGATTATTGAAATGCTAAAAAACCAAAAAATAAACTTTAGTTAGGATAAAGTTCTAAGTACACAATCGTGGTTACTCAAAGAAATATTTTGAAGAAATTTGTAAATTTTTTTTTATATTAGCATCATTCAAAACTTTGTACAACAAAACTCGGAAAGTTAATGTAAATATAAGAACACTACATACAGTCCATTGCATAAGATCAACGTTGCACAGTGGTTTAGAAACTTTTATTTTTGGAAATAATTCGTTATCTCTAGAACTATTGGATATATCGCAATGAAATTTCACACATTTTGAGTTGAGGTGTTTTCGAGTTGATTGAGAGTTTTAGGTGATCGTGGGCGAAATGAGAGCCAGTGGGTAGCCCTTCAAAGTTGGTCACCTCGGGTATTATTATTTTTTAAAAAAATCGTCAAAAACTGATCTGAATGTTTCAGCTCATTAAATACATCTACTACTTAAGAAAATCTAAGAAACTATGTTTGTTTGCACATTTTATTTAATTGCGTGTTAAGAATGTTGTTTTACAAAAAAGTAAACAAAATTAAATATGTATGTGAAAACCATTATTTGACGCGCAATAAAATAGTTAAGCAGTGGTGCAGTGAGTAGAAAAGTTGACTAACAAACCGAAGTCCCTGGTTCGTATTCTAGCTGGCCCTTTTTATTATTAAAAAATAAAATAACTTACTAAACAACTACTTTGTAAAAAAAATTGCAAGTACATATTTAACTCCTTATTTGTAAGCGAGCGTGGAAGTACTTGACTCAAATGACATCACCGTGTTGAAATAATGACTTAAAATATAAATGAAGAAGTAGTGAAGAGAGGTTTTATTAGCTTTTTAACTCATTAATGTGAGTTTTTACTGGGTAGAACAGTTGACTAACAAGCCGAAGTCCCTGGTCCGTATTCTAGCTGGCTCTTTTTACTATTAAAAAATAAAATAACTTACTAAACAACTTTTTAGTAAGGGAAATTGCAAGTACTTCTTTAACTCCCTATTTGTAAGCAAGCGTGGAAGTACTTGCCTCCAATGACATCACCGTGTTAAAATAATGACTTAAAATGTAAATGAAGAAGTAGTGAAGAGAGATTTTATTAGCTATTTAGCTCATTACTTTTCAATGTGGGTTTTTCCTGGGTTATTATTTAAACTCTTCATGAGCAAAAGAAAAAAATCTTGTTTAATTTATACAGTTTATGTTCGCAATAAGACAAGCTATGATTAGTTAATATATGTATGTGCATATATACCTATGTATGTATATGCATGTAGTTTATTTATTTTGCTAAATGTTTCCTAATTAATTTAATAATTTTCCTAGAAGTTTATATACAATGTTTCTCTCAGCCTGTCGGTAGAGCTGTCTATCTGTCAGTTTGTTTGTCCGTTTTAATATCTACATGCATATCACAACTACTTTTTCACATTCCTAAATTCATTCTATTTCCAGTGGTATGTAAACTCGTGAACAATAAAATAATTGTCAATATTTTTATAAAATATTTTTATATTTTATAAAAAGAAATAACTCTAATTAAATAAATTCATTCATTATTACTTGGACAATGAGAAGAAAGTGTGAGAATAACTATTTTCGATAAAGCATAGTATCATGGAATTTCGTTATAATTTTAAATTAAATTATTAAACTTTATTTAACTTTCAAATAAAAGTAATACACACATACACACCTATTTTTCTGTTCACACGTGTATTTTTCTTATTTATACTAAATTGTTGATTGTACTTTTAATACATACACACTCATGCATTTCGACACACACAATTACGCACATATACACCCACGCCCACAATAACTTGAGTCAATTTAACAATCAAATGTATATTAGGGTTGCGGAAAAATAAGGTACTGATGTTCCCACCGAAAATTAAAGTTTATAAGTTACCATTTCTCAACATTTTTGTACTGAGGTCAATATTGGGTGAGCTGGGTCAAACAATAAAAATTTCCTTTTTTAAGGATTTTCCATTTTTTCATGTTTCACTCATAGGAATGATATGCAATTTTGATGCCATGTGAAAAATATTTTATTCTAGTTCAAAAATATTGAATATTTTATAAATTTTCCGAAAATTTAAAATTGTTTTAAATTTTTGGTTACGTCTTTTTAGTTAAATATTTTGTATGTGTGAAGGAACATTAAGTGTTTCAGTTAAATGAAAAGCTTATGAAATTACACGTTTATATATTATGTAGACATATCGATTAGAATATATACTAGATGGAATTTTTAAAAACAGAAAAACCATTCTGATGAATATCCTTTGATACAGCTCACCAAATATTGAGAAATTACATCTTTGAATAAACTAAATTTTCATGTTCGCAGGATTTCCACACCCTAATGTATGTATATGGCTAAAAGTCATTGTATTTAATGTATTATATTATCCTGTCCATGTATGGTTAAAAATGTATGTACGTATTGTATATGTACATATGTAGATATAGACAACATTATTGGTTTTTGTTATATTTTTACTTAAATATAAATATTTTGTTAGTTAAATTGTATATATTTACATTACCGGAAGCTCGTCCATTTTTTTGTTGTAGAAAGCAAAATGTTCACTCTTGTTGTTGTTGTTGGTTGTTTTGGTGGTAGTGGCTGTTTGTTGCACGATGTATTTTTTCAAAAAATATTTCTTTCAATTGAATCCCGATAAGTTCAAGAACTTTCAGATATACATATAATAGAAAGAAAACAATATTTCAGAAGATGGTTCAATGGCTGGTTGGCTGTTAACAACCAGTGCTGTCAATATATTGTTGATTTGCATGAAGTTGTCCTTTTTAACCGAGCAATATTATTTGTATTGTACAACAATGAAAAGATGTTGTCAATGCCAGATAAATTTCTGTACCTTTGTTTAATATATTTTTTATTTTTACAGAAATAGATCTCATATTTATGTAAAGGTATTGTCCTTTCTTCTTTCATTGCATGCTTGAGAGCTCAACAATGCTCAACAATTTTCGACTTTTATTGAAATAACAAGCATTCCAGAACAATTGTTTACCATTTTAGGCAATATTTAGTTCAGTTCATTTTATTGTTTGTTTGTCTTTTCAGTTTGCTTGTTTATTTGTTCTTTTCATCTGCTTTTCTTTTATTTTTGCTCCTTTTTATTATCAATTGAATTGGCATATTATCGCTATCAACGTTTACGCCAATTTTTTAAGTGGTTCTGAAGTTTTACTTCGAGAACAATTACTGGTTTGCTGCTGTTATTGTTGTTGTAAAGACGGTGATGATGACTTGGCTGCGGCCGCAGCACTGTACATTGTATTATGCTCATTTTGTCATCCGTAATAGAATTGCGAGTTAACAGCCACCCCAGTTGATAAAGTACGTGGAGCCAAACCATCATAGGTTGACGTTGAACCTGCTGCCATTGATTGTTGCTGTTGTTGGTGGTGATGAGGAGCGGACGAAGGTGGTGGTGGCGATGCTGTAGAAACAGCCGCAGAATTTGCCTGTTTCATACGTCTGAGTGTGGCAGTCGTTGACGTTAAACCACTATTGCTAGTTGTTTGCATTTGTATCGTTGGTTGTTGCTGCTGGTATTGTTGGCACAGGTATGTTTCATTGTTAGACATTGACGTTGGTGGTGTGCTCATATTGGGCGGCCTTTGTAGTACATTTTCACTGTTCAGTATGTAGCCGGAACGAAAAGTTGGCGCTGTCGTGTATTGTGCCAACGAAGAAATGGGAACCACAGTACCTTCATAGTAACAATGAAATGAATAAAATAAAAATAAATAAATAAAACTGTGCACTTTAATGTTTGAATAGACAAATAAGATTGAAAGCATAAATGTTTTATACATTTTGGGAGGGGAAAAGCTCTTAAGCACTACAATATAATTTCAAGAGGTTTCTTTTATTTTTTTTCATGGTGTCTATGATAGTTATTAAATTAATCGAGTTTCACTTCAAATAATTTTCAAATACTTGCAAGTATTTTCACATTAAAACACGATAACAAGTGAAAAATTATAATTGGTCCTGCCGGCCCATACGTTATTTGTGGAAGTAATTGTAGTATTCATACATACATGGTAATTAAATTATGTTATTTATGAACCAAACTTAAATGATTCATTTGTATGTATTTTTAAACTGACAAACTAATTTTGTGAAAAGTTATTTATAACGGGTTTGGTGATAATTTAATGCAGATTTTCATAAGAATTGGTATATGGTTTTGCTATAACCTACACTCACATAGTGGGGAGGGTATTATACGTTTGTGCTGATGTTTGTAAGTCACAAAAATATTGGTCCTACACCCTTAAAGTATACCGACCGACTCAGAAACACTTTCTGAGTCGATTAAGCCATGTCCGTCCGTCTGTCCGGCTGGCTGGCTGTCCATGTAAATCGTGCGCTCAAGGTACAGGTCGCAATTTTCAAGATATTTTGATGAAACTTGGACCATACCCAACGACGAAGCCTATTGAAAATGGTTGAAATCGGTCCATTATTTCACCTAGCCCCCATACAACCCTACCCCCCGGAAAGGGTTTTTGAGTTCATAATTATGTTAAATATTGTAGTATCTCTACAAAAATCGGCAAAACTTAGTTCTATATAAGTCTTAATAATACTACCAATTTTCATAATTATCGGACTTTATTTGACCCTAGCCCCCATAAAAAGACCCCTTCTGAAAATGACTTGAAAGTCAATAATTCCCAAATAAACACTAGTATCACTATAAAATGCAGCATACATAACCCTAATGTAAATGTAAAGCCATGTACCAAAATTTATATGGATAGGCCCATATTTACCCTTGCCCCCATATAACCTCTCTTTTAAAAAATCACTTTTTTCAACAAATTGTTAAAATATTTCTGAATTAAGGTAAACAACTTAAATGCTTTGTTATTAAATATAATCCACATTTTTAACAAACTCAGTGGTGTAGGGTATCATATGGTCGGCCATGCCCGACTATACTTTCCTACTTGTTTATTTATATAAACCTAATAATTATGTCGATTTCATTGTTAACCACATCACCTAAACTTCACATTCAAAGGTGAACGCCTTATAAAGAAACGTAAATCACTCCAAATTTAGACGAACATAAAAAATGCAAAAAAAACTTACCGATAACATTACTACCCGAACTAACAATTGAACCACCGCCGGCACTACCAAGAACAATTGCCGGTGCTAAAATTCCACTTATTGCAGGTGACCCTGAACTTGAACCGCTTGTTGGAGCGTATACTTGAGATGATATTCCCAAAATATCAGGTGATTGTCTTGGACCACACAAAATCGTTGTATTGCTCATTAGACTTGATGATACGGATCCCGCCGTACTACTCTGTGACATTAGTGTATTTGAAGGACCCAAGGTACCGTAAAGATTCGTAGTTGGTGCATAACTCATGTAATTCTGCATTAAAGAAAAAAATACAAAAAGAACACGGATAAAGAACATGTTATTAAATGAATATTCACAAACATTTTATTAATTTATGGCAACCGCACAGTCTATGAACACAAATTAAACTGTACAATTTATGTACCAAAAAACTCATAGTTGTTTGGGGCCAAAACAAAAAAAAAAAAATTAAATGAAAAACCAAAATCATAAATATTTAACAACAAAACTGAAAATATTAATGTAAGTAAGTATAGTTGTCCTGTAATAGTTTTTGCAAAGATTGCAATTGTCGTAGCCGTTGTTCTTTTTGGTCACTTGAGTTTATTTACTTACCTCGTTCTTTGACACACTTGGCACTGGAATTGGCGTTTGTAAATCGATGTCAGCATCTACTTCGGAAATTGTGTCGTTAAAGCCGTTTGGTATTGTAGTCTCACCGACTCCTTCGTTGCCTCCTGCACCGCCCCCACCACCGCCTAGAGTACCACCAACACCTCCTTTGCCGGACGAGGTTGAATGGGTGTCAGTTGCGCTCTCGTGACGCTTCAACAGCACCACTCTGACCGCAACAGCAACTATACAAAGTATTACACCCACTGAACCAGCCGTCAGAAGATAGACAAACAAACGTTCTTGGTCGCCTGTGCATTCAATGGTGCGGTGCCCACAAAAATATTTTGTGAACAACATTGGAAAATGAAAAATAAGAACAATGGAAAGAAAGAGGAAAATAAAAGAAAACACCAGTTAAAATATAACCACAAAACTTTTTTGTTTATGTGTTTGTGTGGAAAATCCTAAATGAACACTGGTAATTGGTAGCTATGAGTAACATGTACTCCTATATATAAACGTGGCAATAAATCCTTAACTTAATTGCAATGTCATTTGTTAAGTTCATCCATTTCTTCGTCATTCAGTTATTTTTCACTCTTATAAACCGTTTTGCGGTTGGAGGTGAACAAACATGTTTTTCTTCGGTTCGTTTGCAAAAACTTTTCTTCTAATTTGTGTTCAAATGTACATATTTATGTGTATTTTTTTCTTTTTGCTTTAATTACCTTCTAAACTTATATCGGCGCTATGTGTCATGACGGGATTTACGCTACCAATATCACCATCGAAACCCAACGAACCATTATTGGCTCTATTAGCACTTGTGGCAGTGTTATATGTTGCATTAACAGCTGTTGTTGTGTTCGCATTGTTGCGAGCAGCGGGCGCTGTTGTATTGCTATACAGCTTTGGTATTGCTTCAGATTCTTTGTAGAACAATTCATCATCGTACAAATCATTAACATCACCCTCAAAGTCTTCTGGTTCATCAGCTTCAACCTCTGTTTCATAGCGATCCATAAGCACTTGTTTCGGTACTGAAATCAAATAAAGCAGAAATGTTTTTCATCATCACTTGGTTGGCTGGATGGTTGACTGGCATCATAGCGAAAAAATAAATGTTTGTATAAAGCAAAATGATTTATGTCTGGTGTGATGTGATTTCGCTTCGCAAAAGTACACCCCCCCCCCCCCCCCCCTCTGTGTCAAAGTTTCCACACAACAAGTGCGTAAAGTTTAGTTATACATATTTCTTGAGTAGAAAAAATATTACAAGTTAACATAGTATATAACATGGTGTTGACAAGGTTAAGTAGTAAATAGCCTTGTGGTACACAGAAACTTAACTCAGCAATTTTTGGACATTTTGGATAACCACAATGAAATGGCTTTTTTAATTAATCGATTTTAAATGTTTTGAGTGTTAAATGAAAACTTAGTAAATAATGTTATTTAATTAAAATTTAAAGTATGTCACTAACTAATAACCCCAAATGTATGCTATACAATTTGTAAGGAAAACAAACATATAAAAGTAATATTTAACTTAGTAATTAGATTTAATTTTTAAATTATTAATTTCGTCATTAACATTTAATGACGTCGTTATTTTTATTACATTTTAGTTATTTATTTTGCGCAGGCGTAGCGAGTATTCGAGTTTATATTTTGAAGATGGACCCACAGAGCTATAACGAATGTTACAGTGGACGTTCAAATTGTAAATGTTTTTTTATACCCACTATCAAAAAAGATGGGGGGTATATTGATTATGTCATTCCGTGTGTAACACATCGAAATATTGTTCACAGACCCCATAAAGTATATATTTTCTGGGACCTCCTAAGATTCTAAGACGATCTAGCTATGTCCGTCCGTCTGTCCGTTGTTGGCACGATAGCCTCCACAAAAAAAGAAATATTGAGATGAAATTTTTCCTAAATATTTCTTATTGATCAGAAATATTTGGTATTGAAAATGGGCAAAATCGGTCAACAATTTCACATAGCCCCCATACAAATGTACCTCCCGGAATATTGTGTAAAGAGCTTCAAACATTCACAAATTCGTTGTTTATGAAGAAAATGCCACAAAATTTCGCATAAGTCAGTTTTTGACATCTGAAATGGAATTCTAAATCATGACGAACATAGGACCATAATTTCCCCTTCAGAAAATTTTAACCCTCATTATTGGTATAAAAAGAGGAGTATAGCGAAAAAAATTTACATAAGTAAGTATCTTAGGAGCCAAAACCTCTCCACCAAATTGTATGTGGATCGGTCCATAATTGACCCTACTCCCATATTAGGCCCAGACAGTACGATACCTAAATTTCAAATTAATTTTCGAAATTTTTACATTTCTTGAAATTTTAGTTTTAAATTCAACTTATTTTACCTGTCCATCAAGATACTTTGATATTTAAGCCCCTTTTTAACCACCAAGAATGGGTTGATTTGCCAAAATGTGAAATATTGCTTAAAATCGTTAGCAATTTCTTTAACTTTTTTAACTTTTTATTAAAGAAAATTTGAAAGTCGTGGCTCCAATTCAGCCGTCAGAGCTCATATGGTCAACCAAGCGATGAAAAAACACACCTTATCATAAAGAACCGAGGAAACAGTATATTTTGATATTGGGAATATCATTTACAATTAAAATTTTTAAAAATAAATACAAAACGCAGTTTAAGAAATCTCAGCTTATGTCCCCAGTGTAATACTGTGAACGTTTCTATTATTTTTTCCAATGCCAAATTTTTTTAATACCAATAAAATACGATGGAGCAAAAAAAGTTACAAACTCCATTTATCATAGGAAAGTAGACCTAAATACCTTGTATATTAACCAAATTTTATGTGGATCAGAGGTTAATTGACTCTACCCCCATATCATTACTGGCCTAAAAAACGAGTATAGCGATAAAATTCGATATAAACATGACTTGTATGAACCAAGATCGTAATTTTACGTGGATCGGTCTATAAATGACCCTACCCCCATATAAGGCCCCTTCAGAAAAAGACTTTAAAACTTAGTACTGGCTTAAAAATACTAGTAGATCTATGATATTCGACATAAACTAGTTTTGTATGAGCCAACATCTCTCTACAAAATTGTGTGGGGTCGGTCCATAATTGACCCTACCCCCCTTTAAGGTCCCCATCAGGAAATTACAGCGATGAAATTCGACACTGATAAGTTCTATAGGAACCGAAATCTCTCTATCAATTTTTATGAGGAGCAGTCCATAATAACCCTACCCCATATAAATTCCCCCTCAGAAAATGACTACAACGCCAAATATACGAATACCACAATGCAATTCGACATAAACTAATTTTGAGCTAAAATCTCTTAACCATATTTTATGAGGATCGGTCCATAATTAACCCTAACCCCGTATAAGGTCCCCTTAAAGAAAATGGCTTTAATGCTCATTACCGGCTTATATATATAAATATAAATTAATATTAATTACTGATCTGATAATAATCCAAGCTTAAAAATTTCGTAACTTCTTTTTTATGAAAATTTTATGTATAATACGAAATATTATTTAATTAACCCATTTCTTATTTTACGAAAATACGAAGAAAACTAATATTTAAATAGAAATTTATGATAAACAAAACATTTTAAATAATTTTATAAATATTTTATTTATTTTTTATTTTGTGGTAGCGCAAGTTTGTTAAATCTTTAACCATAATAGGTTTCCAGGAAAAAATAATATTCTATTGTATACATTCATATGTATGTAAGTAAATACATATGGGCAATTTCGTGTCAAGTGACCCAATTTAAAAAATCGATTAGGATGATACATATTTGCACTAAGGTTAGTCCTATTGGATAGTGGGAGAGACAGACACAAATTTTAATTTTGTTTAATTACAAAAAAATCAAAATGTGATATTTTTACCAGGCATGGGGGGTAATGATTACACAAAGAAATTAATTACAAGGTCAATTACAATTACTTGTAATGTTGTAATTGAACAATAACCAATTACAATTACTTGTAATTGTAACTGAAATTTTTCCAATTACAATTACATACTTGTAATGTGGCAAAACTTCAATTACAATTACAAATAATTGTAATTGGCAAAACTTCAATTACAATTAAAATTAATTGTAATTGGAAAAACTTCAATTACTATTACATGTAATTGTAATTGGTAATGCTTCAATTACAATTACATTTGAAGTAATAATAGTCTTTACTCGCCAAGCCTGATTTTTACTCAAAAGAAAGCTTATACAATTTCCTTTAAGGGTTTATAATGGGATGGGAGTGGGAATTCTATCAAAAAATTATTTTTTAACTCAAGAAAAAGATTTTTCAATATTTGTCACATGTACCATTTTCATTTTCCCCTTTTTTAAAAATTGACTTTTTATGTAAATTAAAAAAAAAAAAATAAAGATTGAAGAAATTTGCTAGAAGCAATAGGTGACAATTTACACTAATTTGGAAAAAGTCCTGTATGACCAATGTCCAACTTTGACCTCTAACTCCAGCATTTCATGAACGATAGAGTTGAAAATTGTGTCTTTCCTACTTTCCAATAATACTTAATTTGGTGCAAATTTCATCCAAATAGATTTTTAAAGTTGGGTCACTTGACACGAAATTACCCATATATTAAATCTATTAAAAGTTAATATACAAAAACCAACATTTTCGATTTTAGTCGAATGTGACCACACATTCATAAATATTGAGAGCGATGCAAGTTTATACATTAGGGATATAACTATATTTTGCTAGTTGTTTGGCATGCCTCCACGTGAAGGCCAATTTTGTATAAGTAATGAAATTATTTTTTTTAGGTCATTTGGAATCAAAAACATTAAGCACCAATACCTGTTTCTAATATACATAAATCAATTTTTCCACATTTCCACCGAAACGTCTTTTGTTACATTACGTCAAGCATTTTTTAACTGCCTATATCTCGAGACTTTTCAATTCGATTGGTCTCCACAAAAAATTTCCATAAAAATAATAAGAAACTCAACATTCACGCACTAAACGAGTTGAAATATTTTGATCAGATTTTTTTTCGTTCATATCTCCGATACTTATAGACTAATTTTACTGGTTTTACACATCTCTCTCACCATGCACCCCAGAAAATGGCTTTAACGTACATAATTTACTTATAACATTACCACACGATAAAATTCGAAATAATTATAAGTTTATGGGGATCGGAAAATTTTTGACACCCGCCCCATATAAAACTTCTTTTAAATAATTAATTTTTTTATAAAAAAATGTAAAATATAACGGAATTAAAACAAAATTCTACATAAATGCGCTAATATTTGTATTAAATCATATTTAAATATATTCGTAATTTTTGTAGGTTATCATATGGTCGGCCGTACTCGACTATACTTTCCTGTTATAATTCACACATGTTCGTTATTTGAATTATTGCCATTCTCGATATCGTGACTCGTGGATTTTGGGAAAATCACATATTTTTAATATTTTAGAGAATACGTCATAATTCCCTACTCCTGTACATTTCAAATAAAGTATTTCTAGAGTATTATAGCCCAGATAATATAAAATATACCTCCGAAGTTTTATTCAAATCGGGCAATTTTAACCCATAATCTGTGGAGGTCAAAGGTCAAATTTTTCAATATTTGTGAATTCTCAGTTTGAATTATTATTTATAGTTTTACAGCCCGAAGAATAATTCTAGATGGGGGAGGATAAAATTCTTAACTTAATTTTTTGGAGCACTCTAATGTACATATACATATGTACATATATGTATGTATATTACTATTATATGATTTTTTATTTATTTAATTTTTTTTTATTCTATTTTTTGTGTCAGAATTTATAGCATAAAATAATATAAATTTAAACATATTCAACCCGGCTTTTGTCCTCTTGTGAAAAGTATTGAGGTTATTTTCAAAGTTTATGGTACAGGAAAATGACAAAATAGTAATATAGATAAAAATTTAAGAAAACAAAAGAATACTATTTAACTCTTGTTTTTTTATATTTTAGAATTTAATAATTAAATTTATAAGTTTTGGAAAAATTTCTTATAAGACCTAATTGGAAATTGTATCAACTATTGGTCGACTTTATCATATGTTAGGTTAGGTCAGGTTAGGTTGATACTACATCAAATCCAAAGAAATACACTTAGGCCACTATCGGGCCTGTTGTGCGCTCCTTTTCATATGTAGTTCAGATATATTTTTTAAAGATTTTTTATAACATTATTTAAATTTTCCACAAAATAATTTTATCTTGCTGAAAAATGCACAGAAAAATTCTGAGAGTGCTGTTCTTTAGATTTTCATTTAAATTGGAATTATTGTGTAAAAAATCTTGATAGAGCTTTCCGACATTTCTCGGAAATATTTCCTATTGGGCATGATAGCAAATAATGTTTAATTCATTAAATAAATGACTTTAGGGTAGTATTTTGTTTGATATGTAATTGAATTTGCAAAATTTCACAAAAAACTTTATATTTTTTATTTGCATATAATAAAGAACAATAGGATATTCTTCGGAATATTGCAATGTTATAATTTTACAATAAATTTATACAATTTTTGACAAGATTTTAATTTAATTCCTAATTTTTAGACTCTCTACCACGATAAATGGAGATAGAGGGTATATATGTATAAGTTTATCAGTCCGTCTGTAACACTGCAATGTAAATAATTGTATGAAAATCACCACACATTTGTTTCTATAAGAAAACTTGATTTCTTTTGAAAATTCGAGGAATCGATCTACAATTTCATATACCTCCCATACAAATGTACATATTCCCGGAAAATGAATTTATTGCTAATAATTTCGTTAGAATATCGATAACTTTACAAAAATGTACAACTTTTAGAGCGGGTTTTTGAGTTGGCAATCAAATGCCAATTAATAATCAGATTAGTTAACCTAATCAAAAATTTAATCTGATGTTTTTGAGTACAATATTAAACTTCGCAGTGTTGCCATACAAAACGACTGAAAATGTCACTGTTCGTTATCAAAACAATGCCTGTTTTATAAAACAGAACAGACAATTGTGAATTTAATATGAAAATTAATGAAAACTTAAATTTATAAATTTATTTATACTAATCAATAAATAGAACATTTTAATGTTTATATTTATAAAAATTGTATTAATTTTTTTGCATCAGCTGTTTATATTTTGCATTTCATGTTTAAGTTTAAACCACCTCCATTGGGCGCTTAAACTTGCAAACAAAATTAACTAACTGAGTACTCAAAAACAACTTTCGAGGATTAATTTGAATTTAATCGCTAATCTTTTTCCTAAAGATTGGCCCTTAAAGTTCAAGTCAGTAAAATTCATATAAAGATAAAAAATTATAAACCAGTCCATAATTGGTCAAAGCTCTCTTATAAGATCCTCTTCCAAAAATCACTTAATCGCAAATTACTTATTACGAAATAATAATATCCATACAAAATTTGGAACAAATATTACATTTATTTACAGAAATGTTATTGTAAATATTTTTTTCGATCGGTTCATGATTGATCATAGCTCTTATACAAGGTCTCCTTCCGAAAATTAAACGAAAATTACTCGTTACAAAATAAACGATATACATATATACACAATTTAGCACAAATATTGCTTTTGTATCGGTCCATTTTTGGTCATGGCTTCCATACAAGGACCCCTTGAGGATGTTATTAACGATAAATCCATTTCCGGAAATATGTACCTTTGTATGGGGGCTATGGAAAATTTTGGATCGATTGTTATGATTTTGAACATAATTGATCCCTGGGTAAAAAAATTCGCAACAAATTCTTTTTGGTTTAAAATTTATACCAAACATTGATCATGTATTGACGAATCCTTTGCCATCAAAAACTCATTTTGGCCCAATATTGATATATAATTTATAGGGTCGGAAAATTATATTGCAGAATGTCTGCAAATGCAATGACAAACCTTCATACATATATACATATAAGTACCATTCTCACGCAGGTGAGAATCAATGTAAACAAATCACAAATCATTTGATACAGCTAGTCAAAGAACAAAAGAAAATTAGAGAAACGATATTTTAGACATATTTTTCTCAATTTATCTCTGTTAGGAAAATCTACTTTTGATACCACCCTAATATACATAGGTGTATCTATGTTGTACAATGTATGTATGTGAAGCATAAATTAACAAAACTAAATCAAAGAAACACACTGATAAAGGGTATAATACTGTAATAACAATTGTTCATATCGTACATAAGTCACGATTTACTTACCACAAGTGTAAACAACTTTCAGATACATCCGTGAATTGGGTTGACATGGTGAACCGAACGTATTGGCATCTGCGGCCAGATTGCAACGTCGACGTCCATGACAGATTTGCATAACGGTTTCAGTGGCGTACGAAGCCAAACAAGCTGAACGGTTCAATTGTTAAATTAAATTGCAATATCGTTGCATAAAACGAGAAGAACAAGATTAAAAAATACACAAAATCAGCATATAAATGAAATGCATAAAAACAAAATCAAAAACATTACAATAAAAAAATACATAAAACAACAAGATGTAAAAGAAAAAGGAAACCGAGAAAATTGAATTAATTAAATTGATTCTATGCTCGTTTTTTCTACCATTGTTATATTGCTGTGGAATTGGTATGGGTTCTATAATGGACATGGGTACATAGTGCTGATGGTGATTAAGTTTCATAGGCTTCCTTTGATTCTACTTTTCACAATCACCAAATGTTTCCAAAAATACCAATACCACAACAACTGTATACCGAAAAAACCTCTTTCCTTTTGTACTTTTGACATTTGGAAAGTTTTATTTTTTAACTACGTTTGCAGTTTAACAAACAATATTTGATCTATACTGTAGAACAATGGTAAAACCTCAATACAATGTCATTTACATACATACATGAGTATGTAATGTAGAAAGAATCTACTCACTTTCTTCACGTACACCCTGTGGCTGGGGACACTGTATGCTCTCGTATTCGGTTCGTCCAAAACTTGCACTATAGACAGCAATACGAGAATATGGATTACACTCCAGCTGTGCAACATCATTGTGGCAGGCCACCTTGCTGCGAAATTCATCTGTAAAATTGAAAATGCATTTAGAATACAAAATAAAATTAACACTTGTATATCCTTTCATTACACAAATACGCACACACACCGACACTGAGAATCTTGAAATCTAAACACAGATACTTAGACGTACCATGTATATTCTTTTCAATCCCAACAAACAACAACTCAAATATGAATTCATAAAATGTGACTTGAATTAAAAAAGTTTATTAAATTTTTATTTTCATACATATTTTTCAGTCTAAACAAATTATTTTAAACTAAAACAGCCCAGGAAAATTGTATAAAGCAGTTTCGCTATTAATTCTAGAATGCAAAAATTTCTATTTAAAATACAATTGTTGTATAGTTCTGAATATTTATCTATAATTGCAGATACTTTTTGAACACAAAACATTTGTAAAACTTTTAAGGCCCTATTCATAAACAAATTGTTGTTTTATACACATTGGTTATGAATATGGGGGTTAATATTCAAAATTAAAAAAAAAAAAAAATTGCAATCATTTTACGTCGATCGTACTTATGGTTCAAAAGTAATATTAACTATAGGAATCATAAATTTTTTCGTGGACAGGACTTATAAATTGTGTAATTGTTGTATGAAATATTTTAACCTTTATGTAAGTATTAAAAAAATTCTTGACTTTTTATAAAAAATAAAAAAATAAAAAAAAATTGAAGAATGGCAGAAAAGTTTTGTCAAGACTAGTTCAGAACCTGGTTCTACATCTTACATTTTATATTATGGTCATAAATATGTATGTATATGGTTTAATATTCTAATTAACTTCAATCCAAAATGTTTGTTGGCACAGTTGTGTCCCAGAATGTGTTAAATTTTCAAATTCATAAGAGTTTATATTAAAGCGAATAACCATAAAATGGGTAGATGTACGACTAAACAAAGCAATTTTACAGGATACAGAAGTATACCAAAGACCTTTTCTCATAACTACACATACATACATACATATGTATGTACATTAGGGTTAGAACTTTTCTGTGATAATAAAATAATAAAATGCAATTTTCAATTTGGTGAAAAAACTTCCCGCACCGAAAGCAATTTCTAAAAAATTAATTTTAATAATTTTTATATAAATGTATACTAATACTATTGCATATTCAATATTATAGCGATTTATTAGAAATTGCATAACATAGCTTTAAAGAACAATATTAAGATAATGTAATAATGTATTTAAAATCCAAAACACTAATTATTCCCGTTTTTCGCCTTTTTTCCCCATCTTTACACCCCTTTTGGTACTAAAAGCTAAATGGAAAATATATTTTAGCTCTAGAACAATACAATAATCATTATTTAATACCAAAAATGCTAATTATGCCCGTTTTTCCCCTTTCTCCTTATCTTTTGACCACTTTTGGTCCTACTTTCGAAAAATAATATAGCCTATTGACGCTTCCAGACATTAATCTATCTATGTTCCAAATTTCAAGGACCCCAGCCATTTAGGCGTGATTAACGCACAAACAAACAAATAAATAAATAAACTTACAAAGAGGTTTATAATATATATTAGGATTAAGAAAATGTCATAAATATTCCATGTATATTTTTCTCGAAAATATAGTTTTTGAGTTATGAGACCATTGTAGGTAAATAAGCGACATGTTTTGTTCATTGTTATTAGAGTATGCTTTTGATAATGTTTGTCTACGGGCCATATTTAGCTTTCATTGGTGTCAATGTAGTATAAAAATTTTAAAAATTGTTTTGCACATTTACATTCTTGCTATCGAGTCCTAGGCTATCCAATGGACTCTGTGTCTTTAAAAATCCGACATACCTAGCTTGATTGTCTTAGAATTACATACATATGGGGAATTTCATGTCAAGTGATCCAACTCAAAAAAATCGATTTCGGCAAAGTTGGGTCAAAGTTGGACATTTTGGTCATACAGGGTTTTATTCAAATGACTGCAACTTTGCACCTATTAGTCCTAGCAAAAATTGTCCAAATGAGTTCAGATAGCTATTTCTCCATTTTTCCCAAAAAAAATAATATTCTTTTCTAATATATTTAAAAAAAAAATTTCAAAATGGGCCTTATTTCTTAAAAGAAAGCTTATACAATTTCCTGAAAGGCCTTTATAGTCCCATAATGGGATGCGAGTGGGTGGAGGGTATTTATGATTCGGCATGGCCGAATATAGCACTCTGACTTGTTTAAGCTTATACAATTTCCTTGAACGGCTTTATAGTCCCATAATGGGATGCGAGTTGGATATCTATCAAAAAAATTATTTTTTAACCCAAGAATAAAATTTTTTTCAATATTTGTCAAAATGGACGTTATTTTGTATTTAAAAAAAGCTTAACCATTGAACTATGAGATAGTAGGCCGCAAGTTCTATACTAGCCTTGATGACTCTCATGAATTTTATAATTTTAGGGTCCCATTTGACCCTATACAATTTTACTTAAATGTCCACAATTTTATTCAACAATAAACGGCTTAAGTATATCTGAGGCAAGATACAATTCAACAAAATGATTTGATACCGATATCATCATTCAGTTATGAAATATCTTTTTTTGTGTTTTTTTTTTTTTGATCCAAAATATATTTTGCAGTGTGATATATGTATACACAATAAATATTTATGGTGAATATTATTTCAATATCTTTATTTCTAAATTAGTTATTTGTATTTTAGTATTTTTCGAAAGTGGACCATATATGGGAGCTGTGACCAATAATCGACCTATACAGATCTACGTCGGTAATGTGATTTCTGTTCTCATTATATACATATGTGCAAAATTTCGTGGTGATACCGATATTTTTGCCGAAGTTATTAACGATAAATCTATTTCCGAGAATATGAACCTTTGTATGGAGTCTATGAGAAATTTTGAATCGATTGTTTTCAGTTTGGACATTTTTGATCCCAGGGTAAAGAAAATAACATGTGACAAAATTTATTCTATTATCTTTAGTAGTTTCTGAGAAAACTACTCAAGAATAAGGAAAAAAACTTAATTTTTTCGAGGTAGTCTGAAATTTTTACTCATAACTTTTTACGTTGTGGACCAATCCCGCTTAGGACAATAGTGAATATTTTCAGTGAAGTTGGCTGATTTATTTCGCTTAGGTTTAACGTGAGAGTGTTTGAGGCAGACAGACGGACACTGCTAAATCGACTCAGAATTTCATGAGGATCCAGAATATATATACTTTGTTTGGTCTCAGATAAATATTTCTTGGTGTTACACACGGAATGACAAACTTATATATACCCTCTTATCACCACTAATGGTGGTGGACCAATAGGTAAAAAGTTACACTCATTTGAATAAAACCCTGTTTGACCAAAATGTCAAACTTTGAACCCCTCTAAGTTCGGCAGTTCTTAACCGATAGAGCTGAAAATTTGTATCTGACCTACTATCCAATAGTACTAACCTTAGTGCAAATTTCGTTGGGTCACTTGACATGAAATATTTATAAAGAGCTAATGAATATACGCTTTTCTAAGGGTATTTATTTGAATGACCAAAAATGGGCTAAATGAAAATAAATAAATGGCTAGAAAATTTACTAAAAACTATATTATGAAAAGGATTAAGGTATACTCTATAGGTGTTTAGATACGTTTTTCGCGATTCTGAAACTTGTACTTTTATAAACAATTTTTGATCGAATTTGTCACTCTCGAATATTTTGAATTCATTCAACTGCCACTATTTTCTGTTAAACGATTATTTAACAAAGGATACACTAATCTGAACGAGATATCTTCAATACTCCTGGTACCTTGCTTAATTTCTTATATGGTAAAAATTATTTTTTAAGTCAAGAATAAGATTATTCAATATATATTTAACACATATTCTCTTTCTGTTCGATTAACCGAATAAATTTAAATTATTTGATTATCTGAATAATGATCTGAAATCTGATGGAAACTGTGATCACTAGGTATCCTGACACCATTCATATTTCCTATAAAAATTAATGTACATAGCAAGAAGATGGAGTTTTATGCAGTCAAAAAGCACTATTGCCATATACTTAATACCAAAATAAATTTTCTAATATGTACGAATGAGTTTTTTAAAAGATCTGAATTCAAATTCTATTTTTTTATATTTTTTTATTTTTAAACTTCACTTGTGTTCACACATTGTAGAAAATTAAAACGATAAATCAGTGAGGTTACAATAAGAAATATCATGTTAGTATGTGTTTGTTGGAATGTTAGAAATCTATGTATCTGTGTGTGTGGAAGGAAGTGAAAATATGTGTGTGTATGTGTGCGAGAGAAAGTATGACTGAACAATTTAGTTGTAAATGGTACGTGTTGTAATATCTTTTGGTATTCAAATTGTTTAAATTCATTTTGTTTTTAGTATTTTTGTGAATATATGTAGTATGTACTTTCTTTTCATTTCATTTAAGCTAACGAAAACTATAAAAGATTATGCTCTTTATCTACATGCATACACATACAACCAGTGATGCCAGGAGATTTTTTTCAGAAATCCCTACGCTTATGAGAAAAAATCCCTTTTTTCCCTACACCCACTTTTTATTTTCCCTACATTTTTCCCTACACTACTTTTTTCCATTTTCTTAAAAAAATATAAAAATAGCATCAAAAACTAAAATATTAGCTCCGTTTTATAATATAAATATATGTATGTATTTTTTTTTTATTTTTAGGAATGAAATTTCTAGAATTTAAATTTAATTTTTTTTTTTTTTTCAATTTTACATCATACAAATCTTCCAACCCTGACTCTTCAGTTAAGATTAAAAAAAAAACAATTGAAAGATTTATGGCAGTATATCGAATCGTGATAAAAATTTATTTTATGTGCCTCCAACAAAAAAATTTTCATAAAATAATTATTTTAAATAAGGTTTACTTTTGCGTTTACCTTTTTTTTTACCTGAGTTACTGCATTAAGCCCCTGACTACTCTATCTATAAGGAGTCAGAATATATCGCCCTACAGGATTGGCATAATCCAAAAAGTCGTTTCAAGAAAAATGGATATGAATATTTAATGACATTTAACAATTTTTTTATAACTTTTAAACAAATCAAGGGGTTTTAAAAATCCAGATTCAGATAGTTGAGGTTAATATGTTTCTCATCTAAATTGAAATTAAATTTTTAGTTGTCTAATATTCACAAAAACGTGGGTTTTAGTTTTTACGTTTACAAAAAATCGATTTCACATCGAAAATAATAGACATATTTGAAATTTCATAATTCTATATGAAAGATTTTAGTATGTCGCATGTTTTGAAGACCTTAGTTCAAGAAAGCCGAATTTTGGATTATGCCAGTCTTGTAGCGATATGTAGGTACATATATTGTAGAAATTACAAGCGGAATTTTTACTAACGATACACTTAAAACTGATTTCATTTTTAATTTAAAAGTTTAATACATGAAAGAGTATATTTTTAGTTGTTAAAAACTATGAATTTGAAAAATCCCTACAATTTGACAATAGTAAGAAATCTTTCCCTTTTTCCCTACACGTGAAATTTTTGAAAAAAATCCCTACAAAAAGGGAAAAATCCCTACACTTGGCATCACTGCATACAACATATGTTTGTATGTGTGGATCTGTGTATACACTTTTGAATGTATGTTTGTGCAGGGAAATAACTGTGTGTTATTGCTTTTGAAACTAATACTTTTTGTCGAACTCGTACTCGTATAATAGACATAAATCCTGACGAAAAAAGCTTAAGGGATTTAATTTTCATCGAAAATTTTGGTAGTTCTATTAGAACAACAGCAATAATAAAAAAATAATAATAACTTCATCGACTCAACACTACTTTAAGATTTGTTTCATATGCATGGTACTACCATATTTATGTAAATATGTATGTATTTTGAAAGTATTAAAACCTCACTTGAATTAACAAATGAAGTAGTTTTTGAATAAATACAATTAAAAACTGCAATATATTAAATTGTATATTTCATGTTGGTCTTTGGGTAATATATCATGCTGTCAAATAAAACAACACTTTTATATGTAATAATTTTTATGAATATGATTGTGTATTAATTTAATAGTACATATTTGAAATAAAGACATATTTATTGAAGACTTGAAGTGCAAGGCTTAGATAATCATCTAGAGGCTTGATGATCATATAAAAAATATGAAAAAAAATGGCAAAACCTTAAAAAATGATATTTTTATGCTTTGACCCATGTTTCTTACTTATTACTGTTTTTTTCAAAAATTCCCTACTTTGCTAAAATGTAGGGAAACTAGCATACAAAAATTTAATGAAAGAGTGGAAAACCAAAAGTAATGATAAGAGTGAGCTACTATCAGAAAAAAAGCAATCCAATATAAAAGTATGTAAATCCTTGATAGTTTTTATAGCCCAAGTAAAGAAATTCACAACATAGTAGGTTAATTTATACGAACCTATCATGAAGTTCATAAGCCTTTTTATGAATTCAAATTCATTTAGTCAATATATTTGCCCATTTTGAATTCAAACATGAAGAGGTAAATTGTATAAACACATGTGATTAAAATACATTAAATTTAGCATGAAACTTTTACCAAATTACACTTAAGACATGCAGAATTAAGTATAAAAACTTTTTCAGAAAAATTATCACTTTTTGTAAAACTATCTTGTATGAATGTATGTATGAGTGTACCTCTATTAGTATATGTGTGTGTTTGTGTGGCAATATGAATGAATTTAGCTGTTATCTACCAGGTTGTTAAAAGTTTCACTCTTAAGTACCTTAACTTTTGTTGTTGTTGCTGCTTCTGTTATTTTTATAGCTACAACATTCATTTACAGCAAAAAGCAAAATACGTACTTAAACTTAAAATTGTCTGACTCTAAAGAGTTTTAATACACATATTTATGCAGTAGTGACAGGACAATATAAAAGACCAAAAAATAGACGGTAGTACCTAGTAGTGGTGAAGCAAACAAAACAAACAATTTAATCCACATAGGAAATTTAGTGGTGACGATAACGATTTTAATATTTTTTTTGTGGACCGATTTGGACCAGTTTTAATATTAAAAATTTAGGATGAATAAAACTAAATTGTTTAAAATATCATTCCCCAAGGGGCTGTCGTTTAGATAATATTGTTTATATAAATATAAATCAATATCCCTCCTATATTTTTTACGGTAAATATAACAATTGGAGGCATATATACATACCAGGAAAATATGGAATTAATTACTAATTAGGTTAAGCGAAGAAAATTCCAAATGGGATTGTATATTTAAAATAATTTCTGCCATCTGCACGAATATAAGTTGTTCTTGTAAAAGTATTAGTATTCATAAAAGTTTCTTTTAATAGATGCTTGTTTGTTATTTAGTTACTCTCAGTTGGAAAAAGGACATTTTACTTTTACGTACAGTTTCACTTTGTGTGACTTCAAGTATGAGTGCGAGAAAGAATACTGTTTAGGTAAATGTATACAACTACTACCCTGCAACTCGTATTGACCAGTGATTTACTTGCCTTTGTAACAAGGGCTAATTGTTGGAATAGTACTTATAATTATAATTAGTTAGGAGAAAATCAGTTTTGAAGAAAAGTACTGTACCTCAAGTTATGAAAAGTCAGGTTTTTGCATTCTTAGAATCACCTTACTCATATCTATGATGTATACGTTTTTTTTTTATCGGATCCGAACTTACGACAATATGCACATATACATATTTTAAGAAGTTATATAAAATGGTCCACGATGAATCGAATCTTGGCTCAGAATTACCATTACATAAGGTTTTTGAGATTCTTGTTCCAAGTTTTGAAAAAAACCTGTTTGACTTAAAAATAATGGTTTAATCTCTGTTTTATTAGCTTCCTTCTTCAAGATACATATCTTAACATAAATCTTGAGACTTTTTTTAAATTTTGTTGTGTAATGTACAATCAATATTGTCTTATAAAAACTAGTTTTAATATTTACAAATCTTAAGGCACCGGTGCATAGATTGTACATAATAACTAATACATTGACTCAAATTTTGGAATAAATATTGACCAAATATTGGTACATGGACCCTTGTTAAACTGTTGGGTAAGAAAGAAGTATGTATGTATTTAGGTGTAAGTATAAAACTACTATGAGAATGAACTAAAACATGCACATATAAAATTAACTTGATATTTTGTTTATTCAACTTTTTATGACTTTTGTTGTTCTGTTTCGTATGTTTGCGTATAATTGTATTTACGTACCGTACCCTACGAGTGCTGGTGTTGATTATTATTATATTGTTATTATTATTAGTATGAATGAATAGTTTATAGTATATATATTTTTGGCTCTCTTGTTTCTCCCTCTCTATGTGTGCATGCGGCATTACAAAAATAAAAACAAATTTAGATACTTACATGGACGGCATTTATATGCAACTTCAACAATTTTTCTTCTCTTTGGACAGGGGTCTGAGCTGATGATACTCGAACTAATTGTACTGCTGCTGTGATAACTACTCGAACCACTTGCATCACCCACACCACTGGCTCCCAATCCATAGAATTGTGGGCGACCATTAAATTTGCAATGCTTCTTTTTTTGGCAAGCTTCGACAACTGTTTGCAACAGTGAATACTTTTGTTTATTGGATTTGTTCATCAGTTTATAATGGAACGATAAAAATATAAAGAACAAAAAAACAACAATTAAAATTAAATAGTACACAAAACTGACATACACAATACATACATATGTATATGAATATATTAGACCGACTCAAAATAAAATGATGTTTGATTTACTCTTCTCAAAATATATTTTGTTATGTGATATGATTTAGTAATTTCCGTTTGTGAGCTGCACCTGTAATATTTTTTTGGGTAACTTATTATGGCATAACAAGGTACATATTGAGAAGGGTAAATACAGTACCATTTTTAATAAGTCGGTCTAATGTACATACATACATATACATAGTATACAACTAACTATATAAACATTTACAAACATATATTATTATGTAATTTTGTTATACATATCTGTGTGCAATCAAAATATTATTTTTATATTTGGGTCCACCTTTATTTTAGCTGCTATTGATCTAATTTTTTAAAAACTAAACATTTTCACTAAACTAAATATTTCAGCATTTTGTATGACAAATGCTTATTCTCTCAGAATAAATATATTGGAAAACAATAGCACCCTAACAAATACATACATATGTAAAATCAAAAAAATGTTCGTAATGCTTGAGAATTTATTTTATTTGCAATTTATTTTACAGTAAAGGATAAAGTTATTTATCTAATATATTAATTTAAACAAAAACACTTTAAAGTTAAATAGTCAACACTTGATGTTATTATGAAAAATATTTTATTAAATAAAAAATATCTTACATTCAAAAATTTATTAGATTTTATTTGTTTGCACAATATGTATACATGTATGTTCAACATGTATACATATTATTCGTTGGAAAAAATATTGGAGGAATATATTCCTTAATAAATACACTGTTGGAAAAATAATAAGAACTATGTATAACAGCCCTCCGCTCAGGAACGTTTGAATTTTTTTCAAAAGAAATCAAAAAAAGTCCTATTATTTACCCAATTTTTTTCATTTTTAAATCGATTTTCGGCACGGGTTCCTGTTAGCTTAAGAAACTAGTAACCAAAATACTACAAAAACCCATCCAAAATACTACAAAAACCCATCTGAGCAAAATCGATATTTTTTTGGAAACCTTTAATGTACATACATCCTCACTAAGCATGTTAAAATTTCTGTAAGTTCAGCTTTTGTGAAAAGTACTATTCATTTGTATGTAAGTACGTTTTAAAAAAGTGCCAAATTATTTAACCGAATTTGGTCGTAAGTGGGGCTTGCAATCTGAATTCCAAAAAAACACACCATTTAGTGTAAATGGACTCGTTTTAATTTTCAGTATTTAATCAAATTTCTTATAGTTTACAGAATGATATCTCATAAGAAAGTTATTAGAATTACAATTTATTAATTTATCTCATCATTATATCTAAAGTGCAGAAAAACGTTGAAAAATATTAACTTTCCAAAAGCATAAAATATATGTTTACATACTTATAGAGATAAATATAAAAATCTGTGATTTTTACCAACAATTTGTTTGTTAACTGACCATTAAATTATTTATTTAAGGATATGTCTACATATACATATGTATGTATAAACATTTATTGTAAAAATACATTCGAATACTAAAATATTCATGTGAATCCATTATAAAATGAATTTCTAAAGTAAAACGAGTAATGTAAAAAAATTGTATTTTATGTAAATAAAATGTAATGTAAAAAAATTGTATTTATGTAAATAAAAATGCAATCGGACAATTGCTTAAATTCTATTTAGTTGGTGAATACGATACAAATACTAATCGAATTGTAGATGGGGCTGATTTAACGAAAGTAGATTTACCGACAATATTTCCGAAAAAAAGTGTGCAAACCCGCTTAATCAAATGTTTGATATTTTAAAAAGTAAGAGTGTATAGACAGATTGTCATGTAGTTTGTATATATCCTGCAAAAACATGGTAATGACTTGTACTTACTCAACAACTTTCTTTTCAATAACTACTACATACCGTCTACATTATTTAGAAAGAGTCTAGTAATGACTTACAAATAATATAATATGTAAGTATTTACTTTTCTACCACGCCATATTGTTTTCGAATTTCGATTTTAGTTTTTTGTTAGAATCATTAGTATACGTATCTCCGTAGGCTCTTTTTTTCAAAAACAAAACTACTTACTTAACACTTTATTTACAGGCGATCGTAGTAAGTAGTAAGTACTTATTTTGTTCATTAGTGTCAAAAACTAACTGCTGTTAAGTTTTAGCTCAATTAGATAACATTAAAATAATATTTTCTTAGCCTTGGATCAGTCCTAGTTCATTGAGGAGTACTCTATACACGCGGATGCGGAGTAGTCTCAATTTTTGCATATGTATATAACATAGATACATATGTAAATAAAAAGTGTTAAATTTTTCATTCTTTCACATGTGTGTAGACATGACAATGATTTAAATTGTGTTACGATAATTTTGAATGACATTTACATAATTCTGAATGTTACGTTTGGTGATTGTTAATCGATTAAAATGCGTTGATGTCATAGTTGGTAGAGATGTCATGTCAAAATGTTTTATTTCTTTTATGTATGTGTATTTATACACACTTATATACATCTGTATATGTATGCATACATGTGTACAAATATTCATTTATTTATTTTCCATTTTTAATAAAACAACAAAAAAGAAGTAGAAAAAACACAATACCTGCAATGCATTTGGCCACATGCAGTTCTCTGGTGTATTATCATCATTGTCAGCCGTGCTGGTGGTTGTTGCCGCATCCGCTGCAGAGACAGCACTCAGACTCGCCACTTCAGATAAATGTGCACCATTTACATAACGATTTGCGGGTACTTTTTGTGTGGGCGAACCAAACGTTGAGCCACGTAGTAAGTGTTTAGCTTTAGTGCGATTTTCAATTCCATCACCGTTGGCAGGACATAATTCCTCAATACTTATGCCATCTGTTTCAATTGAAATGAAAATAATAATAACAATACCAACAATATAAAATAAAATAAAAATATGTACATAAAATATTAATGCCTTGTCACAACAATGATATACGCAAAATCAGCAAAAATGTTTTATTTATTGTATTTTTTAAAATTTATGTACTTATTTTTTTGTATTCTTGTGTGTATTGAATATGAAATTCTATTTAAATTTACTTTGTTACAAATACATATAGATAAGTTTAGATGCCAAACAAATGAATACGCTTTTATGTAACAAATGTTATTGAACTAAATTTAATGGAATTTTTTCCTTTGAAATTTAATAATAATATATTAGTTAGTTAGCTAGTTACTTTGAAAGGAGGATGTATATATGTACATCAAATCCGAAGAAATACACCTGGGCCTTTATCGCGCCTGTACGCTCGTTAACCAGTGCCTCAGGTGGAATTCGAACCCACTACCTCCGGTCTACCAGACTAGAACACTAACCACTAACCTACCGAAGGACACTTTACAATATATTAAAGACCAATATTTTGATATGTATGTTAAAACGGAATGACATTTTTTTAATGGTGGATATAAAATACTCCTAAAACCGGTTAACTAGATGCATAACAGTTAGGAAAATTATCATTATTGTTTTTAAGTCACATGGAGATTTTCTCAAAATTTTAAAATTTGGCTAACAAAATTGTTAAAGGTATGAAATTGGAGTTTTGAAACTGCCGTCTGAAGGGTTTCACATTTGTGACTACACCCCAGATAAGGTTTGTACTATCTAATGACATTTAATTTTAACGAAATAATTTTTAGAATATTTCCAAAAATGTGTTAATTTTTTTAAAATATTTATCATTTTACTGTTTTGTGACGCTAATGATCTGACTAATTTGTCATAAGTTTTAAAATTATTTACCGATTTTTGTATTTTATATTTTATAGGAACGATACTTGAATATATATTCCATTTATTTGCTGTTAAGATTTAAAAATTAAAATTTAATTGCAAAATTTTTGCATAAACCATTTTTGACTTCAGAGCCTTTGGCGCCACCAGTTAACGTAGTCCTATAGTCCAAAATTTTTCCGGAATGGATTTTCTTATTTCTAACTTCTATAAAATTAAAGAATTGAAGATTTGAGACACAAGTATACAGTCACGGGGAATAAAACATCAAAATGTGGAAAATTGGTGGGTGATACGAATTTTGTATTGACTTTTTCGGGATCAGCATACCACATAATTCTAGAATTAGTGAAAATTATTTAAAAAGTTTTTTCATAGTTGGCCTGTGTAATTATTTGTGGTGTTAATTATCATTAATTTATTACTTAAATTTGTCGGTGAATCAATTAAGTCTGATACTTTTCCCTAATTTTTCAGTTCTCAGGAAACTTAAATGTATTTTTTAGAGAACACCAAATAAATCCTACTTTAGGTGCTCATAACATTATTTCTTAATTGAATCGAATTACATTATTTCTTTGATGTCGTATAAATTGTAAGGCACTATTGAAGAAAATATTTATAATGTCACTCTACCTAAATACAACAAACATTTTATTTCTTTTGTATGAATTAATTATATTACATTGTATATGTATAACACAATGTAAGCAAAAGAAATTTAATTTATTTTGGCACTTATGATCAATTAAAAAGTAAAATATAAATTTCTCTGTAACTTTTTATTTTGCTTCGGACGTTCGATGGCATCAATTTAATAAGTGTCTGCAGTAGTTGGCGATGAACTTTACAACTTACCTTTGGCTATAAACTTATTGTACTGTGCAAATTCAATGGATATACTTGTGCCACGTGGACATGTAATTACAACTTGATCTGTGTCACAGGCAGCTTTTTGATATGTGCGCAGTGTTGCTGACAAAAGTGCTGCACCGAACATCCGGTTAAGTCATCAATGTTTTTTATTCAATTTTAAAAAGATTGAAAAAAAAAATAATTTATGCGTATATATGCGTGTATACGAACGTGTATGAATGTTGAATAAATAATTTAATACACAATATTTGTATTTGTATTGCAATTACATTTTCCAATATGTTCACAGGTGTTTGCGCGCGTGTATATATATGTGGAAACATTTTTATGTTTTTATGAAGGCATAATCAAATGTAGTGATGCATGATCAAATAATATGGCCAATATTTTTCATCGTCATCATCATGGCCGACAGCATCAGCCGGAGCAGGCAGAAGGCGCCATCATAATAAACGTCAACGTCGTCAACACCATATCCAACAACAAAAAATAGAAACCGTGTATGTTTGTGTTCAGATGATGATGTTTGTTTAACAAATATAAACGAGGTCAATGCGTCGAGTTGGTTGGTGAATGTGAACAAAAAGAACATCATGAGGAGTGGAAGAGAGACAGAGAGGAATAAAGTTTATGGATATTAAACGTACAGCATGCATGTTGTGCATTTAACATTCATTCATTTATTTATTCGTTCATTCATCAACCCAACGAGGTTGTTGTGTTGCGTTGTGTTCATTGTAGCCATTCGTTTTAATCACCATTATTTAAACGAAGTTTAAAGAAAAATGGCAAAAAACAGTAGCAACATCGAATTTATGCAACATTTATTATTCCATAATATTGCGTTATTTTTGTTGTTGTTGTTGAGAAATATTAAGCGTCAACATCAATATCACACGATCATATTGAAGTCAGTCACATCAAATACAGATTAGAGCATAGAAGAGCAATATTGAATGGGATTAAGTTTGTTGGTTTTAGGTTTGTGTTTAGGTTTCCATTCCAGAGAGGCACGCCAAGTGATGAAGATGCAAATTTTTCATATTATTTCAAATTATGTATTAAATGACACATACATTGTTCGTTGAGAGACAAGAAAAGCATAGAAAAAGAAATATAACAAAACAGCATCAGGATGTAGACCGGAATCAGTGTCAATGCATTTGATGTGACAAATGATGTAATTAGTGCCATAGTGCATATAAACACGCATAGATACGTAGCCATATAAAAAATAAAAAAAATTCATGTAACAAATTGTTGAAATTCACATACATACATTATTGTTGTTGTAGTTTTCATCAGCCATTGCAAGTAAATTGTACATATGAAAAGAGAAGAGAAAAAAATGAAAGAAAAATTATTTAATTTAGTTTGATATTCTATCTTTTTTGCATTTATTACACTAGATATGTAAGTATGTATGTATGTAAATACATTAGACCTGTCCCTAGAAGCTGGTCTTATTCATTAGTATCTGAAACTGACTGAGAATTTTTAAATTAATTTAATTGATTCAATTAATTTTTTAACTGAAATGTCGAAATACTTTTCTTATTTGGTCTTTTGTTTTGATATTTTGTTTTGGTTAATTATGCAAAGAAAGTTTATAATTCTTAAATAGACATTAACATTTTAACCATAAGTAGTTATATTTTCTTGACTGTTTAAAAACGTATAAATGATTGATAAAATTATAAAAAATACAAATTGATAAATTAATTTAAAGTGTTTATAATTATTTCTTCGATTGAAAAAGGTATTATATTACAATTTTGATAATTGATATTATCATTAGCTTGCTTTTAACGACAAACTGATCCCTTTTTAATACCAAACACTTCAGATCAAATAATATATAACAATCAAATAGCAATATTTTTGTTGGTGGACATGAAAATAACGCTTATACAGAGCAGATTTAATGTGCTTTTAAAAGAATTCTTAATTTTAAAACTAACTTTTAACTGCAATTATCTGTGATTTTTACATACATACATATATACATACATACATATGTATGTTAAATTAAGTTTTACATGGTAGTATCATAATAACATTAATAGTAAAGTGCTGTAGCTAAATAATTGACATATATTGGGTATGAGTAAGAAGATAGATTTTTAGCAGTTTTCAGTTATAAATTTATTTACGAATTATTCTACTACCAAATTACTTTATATAACAAATAGCATAATTTATATTTTAAAAATCTTATAAAAAATACATCACTTTGTGCAACGTAGCTGTAATAAAAATGTTTTATTTTTTTTTTTTGCACACAAGCACGAAATAAATAATTTTCAGGACAATTATTTATTAGCTTAATATTGAAAATAACACAAAAATCTTAAAAGCCATGTACCAGCCGAGGTATTTGCTGATTGAGACGTTAATTTTTTCACTTGCTGTCAAATTTTCGTGTTTCAGTCAGAAATAAATACATTAATGCGGCTTAATATTATACGCTGATTACACTTCCAAGAAATAAATTATAATTTATACATAAAGTGTTGCTTATATTGACAAGAAGCACATAAATCATTTTTTTTCGAGGGTCGTTTGTAGAAAGTATTTTTATATGTGTTATCATACAGGATTACATTGATGATTTTCTTTATAAGTATTTATTTATACCACCTGCTTTAGTATCTTCTGAGTTGATAGTACGATGAGCAACTGTCCGTCTCTGTATCCATGTTAATGTTATCAAACTAAAAATGTACCTTGTGTTCACAGAACGAAAAATCACATTCTGAATCTATTTTTCTCAATTGTAGTTTAAAAATGTACTTGAAAATTTAAGTACATACGATTTTACTAAGGCAAACTTAAGCACAAAATTTATTAAAAAAAGTATTAAGTGGTTAAGATTTTGTCAAATGACAAAATCTATCAAGCTATCAAGTAAAAATTGTACTTGATAGCTAGCACCAAATTAAATGAAGTATTTAGTACTTGATTCGAGCAATCCGTTCGTTTGAGACCGCCTCAGATTAAATTATGTACGGAAAACTGAATCCTTTCTTTATATATAAAAAATGTTGTGACGTGGCATTGATATATTTTTTTAATAAATCGTATGTAATTCTCGTTATAAACGTTAAATTTTTTTTAAAAATAGAAAAATGTGATTTCGAATTAGAAAAATGCTTTTGCCTATAAACAAATGCTTTTGTTATGACAATTATTTACTTATCATTTTTATGTTTTCTGTTATTTTGTCAAATAAATACATTTATAAATGTTTTGATTTGAATTTGATGACTTCATCTCGGTTTAGAAATATGATGACACGAACAAAAATAATAAAAATGTAAAACAACAGGAAATTTCAAAATAAACATGTCATCAAATCCGTTTTTTGTTTATTCCAGTTAAATAAAAAGAAAAACAAAATTTTTGGCTGTAACTTGTTTAAATTAATACACATTTTTTATCACTTTATTTTTTATTCCGTATTACAACATTTTACTAACAAACATGCTCACACTAAATTGGATAATATGCTGAAAATGTGTAAGTTAAGTGAATTTTTGTTTTTTTTTTTTTATATATTTGTTGAGGATTTTTTATTATATTATTTTTTTTATTTTTTGTTTTGTTGGCTTAGTGACCATTCATATTTTACGACTTTGTTTTTACTGTCAATTATAAATAAGCGGCATAATGGTATAATTTGTGTACAGAATAAAACTGCTATTCCATCCATAACTTTCGTTCATCCTTAATATCAATTATTCCATCTCTGATTTGGATTATTTGATAATAAAATATGCATATAACTTACATTTGAATTTAAAAATGTTGTACACAAAGAAATAATAGCAAATTAATTTTTTGTTCCCTTCAACCACCAAGGTTAGTACTTTTGGGTATTTGCTTTAATAATTCGCTTGACCATGACATTCTATCTGGGATCAGTGTTTCAAAGTTACCAACATATTCTATGTCGGATAAGTCCAATGATTGTGTCTACCCTTCAAATGTGTCCAGAATTATTAATGAGGTGTCCAATAACAGCTTTTGGTTAGTTCGCCTAAAGTTATGAACCGTTCGACTGTAAGTTCCGCTTCATATCTTATATATGTTTCAATGGGTGGAATATCAAGCAAAGTTTCCAGAACCTTGGTTGGTGAAGTGATCATGGCACCACTTATACCCAAGAAGCATTTACGCTGAACTCCCTGCAGTTTGTCCAATGAAGTCCACAAGATTATTGAAGCTTAAGCTAGAATTGGTCTAATTACACTTCTATAAGGCCAATGTGTTATTTTAGGACTAAGGACACATTTCATGCCTATGGTTCTCCTACACAAGTAATTTTAATTTTTTTCCCTTAGAAGTATTGCGACATAGTCTGATAAGTATGAAAAAATTATAAGAAATACAAAAATTAACTGAATACACCTACTGTGTGTAACTATGATAAAAATAAAACATCGTTAATTTGTCGACACTGACGTGATTCATGTTTTCTTTTACAATCATTGCCATCATCGATGTTCAACAACATGGGCATGAGTTGAGTTTAAGTACGAAATTCTTTAAACGATTTCTTTCCTTTTGAAGGCTATGAAAATACTTTTTTACACAGAACGGATGATGAAGGCTAAACTTTGTTGAAGGAAGCAGGAAAGGAAAAATTAAGATGGAAAGGAATATTTAAATATTATTATTTGTCTGTATATGTATATGAATAAGTGAGAATGTGTGTGTGTACATATACACATACATATGTACAATGTATCGTACCATAAATAAAAAAGAAATGTAATTCATTTTTATCATTGGAATTATTAAACTTTTATGACTGCTGCTGCTACTACTTGTTAGTAATACAACTGACTATATAGTGCTGCTGACAACGACATTACTGCCGAGATGTCCTCCTTGGGCTTGCGGTACAATCAAGCTCATTGCCGCAAAAAAAAAATGGAGAAAATAACCGACTGAGATTTCCTTTTATTACATTTATTATTGCCGTTGTTTGTGTTCTGGTAATATTTGTCTGTTTGCTTATTTGTTGTTAGCCTGTTTGTATTGTTTCTTTTATTTGTTCGTTAGTAGATGGGGAGCTATCATTTTTATTATTATTTATTGTTATTTAT